ACTATGATAAGTAGGTTATGTCTCACTGCCTTGATTAGTAATCACATAATACAGCTCTACTAAAAAATGCATTTATATATCTTTGGAATTTCCTCTCCTTCGTTTCGAGGCAATGAGACATAACCTACTTATCATAGTTTGGTAATACCATAATATAGCAAGGAAATATGCAGTATAAATAGTAGACACGCCAACACAACTCAACCCCCTGCCTCCTCTCTCCTCTAAAAACTTCGGAAAATTATTTATTTAACCCCTGTCTGTCTTCCATTTTTTTTTTGAATAATGTTATCCATCCCCACTGGAGTTGAGCACTAGTCTATATGACAATTACACGACATTAAATGATATACTCAATTAAATAAGTCATGTGACTTTGTATTTAAACGAATCTATGATTTAATGTTATGTAATTGTCATATAGACTGGAACTCAATCCCAGTAGGGATGAATATCATTACTCTTTTTTTTCTATATACTCATTTGCAACCACACATTCACAAAATAAAATATTCTATACGTAAACCCAAATCTTTTTCTTACTTTTTAACTATACATTCTCAAAAAATTCACTATTTAAAACGATATTTTTCCCAAAAAAAAAAAAAAAAGACCACCAATCAGTGGCTTAATTAGCAAAGAAAGCCAGCATTCTCTGAACTATCACCCTCAATGGTCCTCTTTAGCAAGGCTAATACATATTGGTTCTTTGTGAGGTGAAGCCATTGAGGTCTGATAGTTTTGAAACTGTCCGCCTTCTCGCCAGCTTGGGCTGCACACTTGGACTCTACATCTGTTATCCCCAGTTTATTGTTCTCTAACTCGATTGTCTCTTCAATATATTTTTAGATCTCGGGATATAATATCTTCTTATGTCAACACATTTTTGATACATTAATACATTACACCTTGACGTTTTCTCATTTGCTAAAAGGAGATAATATGTTAGTCTCAAAAATGTATTAAAAGGACGACCAAAGACACTACAAATTATCTCAGTTCACATGCATGTGTCCACGTTACGTAGATTATTATCATTCAAGTCCAGCCCTCGTCTCTCTTTTTTTAACAAGATCTTTTAACTTCTGCTGAACTTTAATTTAAAATTTTCTTTTTTTTAACTAACAAATACGTGAGAAGTAAATTCATTCTTCTATCCTTAAACCGTTTAACACAAACTTATAATTACAAGTCGAGTGTCATTTGTTAACATGGTGATTGTCCTTTCTATTTAGCTTTGGTAAACCCAAATGTTATAAAATGAGCGATCACATGA